TGTGGAAAGACCTAGATTAGAATGTCCAAGACGTTCTGGCCACACCCAGGTCACCCCATAGCCTCTGAGCAGAACACTGATGTGAACCCAACAGAAGCAAGAGTTTTCCTTGGGTTCACAGGAAACGTGCCCACTGATAAAGGGTCCATTCTGATGCATGATGTCACCCCTAACTCTATGAATAGCACACAACCTCCAAAACACACCCAGACTGCCCCACTCATGGCCTTCACGCAGCTTGATTCTCCCAATGTGAAGAATGTGCCTGGACCTATCCCTCAACAAACACAGACACACAATTGCTACAATGGCTTATAACTTTCTCTTTTTTTAATTCAAACTTGCTTTGATTTCATCTTACTTCTTGAATGCATTAGAAATTATTTCTCTTCTTCTAGCTGAAGAGTCCCATCTACATTGTTACCTATTGCCAAATAAAAAAACTGCCTCAAGGGTGGAGACGGGAATGGGATCAAAAAGGGGGGGGGGAGAAATGCACGGGATTATGGTGATGGCACACGGGTGATTTGGTGATGGGAAACCCGCGGGGATTACAATCGAGATGGAAAAAAAAATGTACAAAATGATGTAAAAATAAATATGGACTTCTGCTAAAAAAAAAACTGCCTCAAGATGTGACGGTTTAAAATAATAAATATTTATCATCTCAGAGTGTCTATGGTAAGGATCCAAGAAGTTATAGTCTGGATGCCAGACAGGTCATCTAAGGTCTTTAAGGGGGCTGTGAACACTCTCACAGCTCACTCTCTCACCTGACAATGATGTGAAGCCTCAGTTCCTCACTGCCTAGACCTCTCCAGAAGGCTCAGGAGTCCTCACACCAGGAGCAACTGGCTTTTCCTAAGGGAGAGGAAGACAGAGTTGCAACAATGTTTGTATGACTTAAGCCATGTACCATCATTTCCACAACACCCTGCTGGTCACAAAAATGAGGCCTATCCATGCAGAAAAGACCACACAGGCCGAGGGGGCTCCTTGGTGCCATCTTGGAAGCTGGCCATCACACCATCCCTTTACAAGTCCAATTTCTAGATCATGGAGTCCCAGGTGTGAAATGTGTATAGAAACAAAGGAAGGTCACATGCTGTGTGACACAGAATGTGACCACAAACCAAGCAGTCACCTGCTGGTAGGACAGGGTCATCCTTTGAGGAAGGGGTTCTCTCTCTGGCTTCAGCTCCAGGCAGACCAGGCATTAGGCCAGTCAGAGAGCAGAGCCTCAACATGAAAGAGAACAAGGTCAGAACAGTCTTGTTAGCTGACAAGGGGAGCTAAAACCGTTCTCTGGAGCTTTTCAATAAAAGTTACTTCCAGTGTTTGACAGAGGCCAAAGTAGAAAAAAAGACTCCTTTCTTTGTAAGAATTGCCGGTGGTTCCAACCCAAGTCTATCTTTCCCCCACTGACTTCTTCTGTGATTATTATTTTTACTGCACAATTAATTTTTTAATATATATTATCTGATTGGCTTTGATGAGCAATTTAGTACTTTATTACATATTACAAGAACAATTACACTGAGTCTAAATCCCTCCAAAGTCTGTTGTAAATTCCTTGAAATCAGAGACATTAAATATTACTCAGCCCACCATCCATGTGAACAGATCATTCTCCAGGAAAATGCCCCCCAACATGTTTGCATCATACACACATGCACACACTATAACACACATAGCCGCCATGTTCCTGGATACACGTTCTACACACATGATCCTATATGAACGGTCCTACATGTGCCATCGTGTCTACACACATGCTCGTGTTCACATACACAAGCACACACACACACACACACACACCACAGAATCAGTGCTCTATAAAGAGCAAAGCTTATTTATCTGTTTTTACAAAAAGAGTAATTAGACTGAGTCAGGGTCACACTGACACAGTCATTCCTTCCTAAAAGCATGGACATGTGAAAAGGACATTTTAGGAAGGAGATACAGAAAATTCAGAATTGTCCTTGATCTCATGCAATTGCAAAGGCACACAAGCACACTATCACACAGTCCTAGCGACTCACTACTGACACACAGGCTCGCCTATGCATGCTACTTGTTGAGTTGTTTTTCACGTACAGCTTCATTTAACACTTTGAGCGCCGGGGATCAGGTTCTACTTCAGACATGGAATTCACTCACAGATGGAACAAAACGGCCTCGGCTCCTCCACACACAGGCATCCCCGCCAGCCACATAACCACCATGCAGGAAGCACACGTTCATGCAGCGGGAGATGAGCGGAAGGAAAGAGCCTCAGTCCTCCTGAGGGTCAGGTAACTTTACAGAGAAAGGGAAAGGCGGTTAGGATTGCACCAGCAAAGGTGGTAAAAGGAGCTGAGCTATTAAATTGCCAGGTCACAGCTGGGAAACCAGCAAAGAGAGTTCTTTCTTTCAGTGCGACTCCCTGTGTCACTGTCCGAAAGTTAAATGGCAACTTTGACAAGAGGACATAGCCCAAGGTAGGGCTGGGCCCTTCCACACAGCACCTGTTGGTAGGGAGAAGGGGAATTCCTTCCACGTGGAGTCCTTGGGGGGTGGGGGGTTGTGGACTCACTTCTACCCCTGCAGAGACCCACACAAGGGGGAACAGTCACGACAAGAGGCTTAGGGGAGAAAAGTGTGGGTCTGCTGGGCTTAAACAGTCTGCTCGGCCACCACTGTTCCCTGCAGTTCAAGGTCAGAACAACCCACTCAGTTATGTGACCTAAAAGAATGTAGCCTACCAGATCATGTCCCTTCAAGTTAAACAAGAGCAGGACACTTGATCACCCTGGGACAACAGGTACAACTCATGATAGGAAACACCTCAGGGCTGTTGACGGATGTATGACGGAACACCCCAGAGACTGATCAGTGGAACCCCTTGTTGATCAGACTGGAACCATGGGTGAAAGTCTGGGGTATGGCTTTGTTTACAGCACCAGGTCATCAAGCAGATAAAAAAAAAATAACAGCAGGGCGCTCCCTGGTGGCGCAGCAGGGTAAAGCATAGCACTGAGATGTTAAAGCCACTTTAGCATGAGTTCAATCCCCGCCCCTGAGGTGACCCACATGGTGCAGCAGACCTCTCCTGACCCACCTGCTGCTCCCCTCAGCAGTGTACTTCATCAATCTGCCTGTTCTGTTCCCCTCTATGTCTCTGGTGAAGCCTCTCACCGCCCCTGCTCCTCTGACCTATACCTCAGTTCTGTATGCACAAATAAATAAATCTGTTTTAAAAAATAAAAGCAGACCTACCTCTCCCTGAAGCCCTAGATGACAAGCACAGGCCAGGGTGTTGCACTTTTGGCAGCATCCTGCATTGTACAACTGGCTCTATGACTCCCATTTGTCAGTGTGGTGGTGTCAACGCAACAGAAGTGTCCCCCAGCAACGTCTCTCCTCTGGAGAGGGCAGCCTCTGGGTGTAGTCTCAGGAGACAAGGAAGGCACAGAGGGTGTGGGGAGCTCTTCCCCAGTGAGTGGATGGGGAAAATCTCCACGTCAAAGGAACCGTGTCAGAGTCCCAACTCCAGAGGTTGTGCAGGCAGAACCCGGGTGGAGAGGGGTTTGGGCGGAGGGAGCCACAGCAGAGGAGGAGGGAGAGGAACGAGTTGGGACAGGACAGAAAGATGGACGGGAGCTGCGTGGGCAGGGGAGTGTCAAAGACTTAATCAGGGATAGGAGTGCACAGGAAGGAGGAGGGGGTAGAGCTGGCAGCTCCCGGAACCTCGGGGACCTGGAGGTTGTCCAAGTGGATGGAACACGTATTTTGCAGAGGGCTTTTAACTTTGGGGATTGAGAAATTGCTTTCCAGAGCTTTAGCTGAGCAAGTGTGTGTACCACGAAAAGGTGGGGACAAAGGGAGGGAAGTTCAGCAGGCCAAGTGCCCTGGGCTTGGAATCAGAGAGCCCTTGACTCAACCAGCCCAGCTACTTGCTAGCTGTGCATCCTCGGCCAAGTTAACCAACTTCTCTAAGCCTCAGATTACTCGCGGACAAAAGGGATTCAAAAATACCTTTCACAGGTGGTTCTTCCAGAAAGCTCTGGGCACAAGGCCTGCTACAAAGCAAGTTCAACAAGGGTTAACTACGTTCCCAATTGTAATTAGTGTGCATCACTGGACGCACATTGCTCAAATGAAGTTATGGACCCGTCAGACCACAGCTAGAGCTGAGCCTTCTGTGAATCACACAGATAAACTCTAGCCTCCCAGGAGAACATGACTTAGAGAAGCTACAGATCTGAAACACAAAGAGAAATTAAATCCTGCCATTGTTGAATCCAGATGACAAGGAGGATGGGGAGAAGGAGCCAGGAACCTTTTGTTCAGCTTCAAGAAACAATACCCACCTTGTTAAAGATTCTGGGTCTGAAGTGCCCAGGGACCTGTGCTATGCTCCTCTGCAGAGTCTGTTTTCTCAGCTGTAAAATGGGAAATAATTCAATGGCCTGCCCCATAAGACTATTGTGGCAAATGAAAGCGTTAATACGCTGTGAAGTGCTAGACTAGTATCCAGGCTACAGTAAGAACTCAGGAAGTGCTCACTTTATGTTGTTATTATTTTACTGTAATTACTATAGGGTTAGGACTTCAGGGCGCCTAATGGCAGCCCCGTGTGCTTTAGTGATTTCAGCAGATGAGAACAACCCTGTGCGGTATAAGCCTCACCCTACAGAGCCCAGCGCTCATGCCCAGGGAGCCCCTAAACCTGGCGCTGGCGGCAGGAACATCCGGGCACAGGGGCAGCAGTGCAGTACCTCCCACCGGACGCCAGGGGGGGCAGGGTCCAACCGGGCTGCTTCATCCGGAAAACAATCCCTAACTCGCTCTAGGCTTCCTTCTTGGCTACTTGGGCACTCACCAATCTGAGCGCTCACGGCTACAGAAATCTCGCCCACTTTGATTACCCAACCAATCATCGAGTGTCCTTTTCCGGGAGGGGCCAGAAAACGTTGCTTCTCTTCCTTACTCAGAGCCCCGCCCGCTGGCGGCTCCGCCAATCCCCGTGGCAGAGAGGGCTTCACCCCCGCGGGGTTGAGGGACTACGAGGCCCGGGGACCGGGGTCGGGGGGGACGGCTCGGAGACCACGTGGGCTCAGGAGCTGGGTGGGTAGTGGGTCAGCCGGGCAGGCGGCGCCCACGTCGTCCCGGGAGCGGGAGCGGAGTCTGCGGAGCGGGATCCCAAGACCTCCAGGGAGCAGGTGCTGGTTAGTTTGAGGGTCACTAGGGCGGGGTCTGGAGACCAAGTAATCCTGGGGCCTGGGTTACGGGTTAGAGCGGTGATCGGTCTGCCGGCGAGGTGCTGAGAGGGCAGAGTGCACGGGCCGACCCGGTGACCCCGTGCTGTGCTCCTCTAGCCATGGGCGCGCAGCCCCCCAACTTCTCATGGGTGATCCCAGGCAGGCTGGCGGGGCTGGCGCTGCCGCGGCTCCCGGAGCACTATCACTTCCTGCGGGAGCATGGCGTGCGGCACTTGGTGTCTCTGACCGAACGCAAGCCCCCTCACAGCGACAGCTGCCCAGACCTTGTCCTGCACCACCTGCGCATCCCTGACTTCTGCCCGCCGGGCCCAGAGCAGATCGACCGCTTCGTGCAGATCGTGGACGAGGCCAGCGCCCGCGGAGAGGTCAGCCCGGGCCTGGGGAGCAGGCGGTGGGACATGAGCAGGGTGTGATGAGAGGCTGCCAGAACAGGGATTGGCGTCTGGCGGACACCGCTGGGCTGGGAGAGCAAAGCCACTGGGGGCTAGTTAGGGCCAGAGATGACAAGTGTCACCAGGGCAGGGCTGGAGACCTGAAAGGATGTTGCTGCAGGTGGAGGGGAGAAAAGACAGGCAGGCTTGGGGGGCAGGAGGCCAGTCCCCATAGCCACAGTATAGGCATTACTGTGTCATTTTACAGTTTTCAGCAGCCACTTTTTTAAAAGGTATCAAAGAAGTAGGAAAAATTCTTTTCAGTGATAATGGTTTAACTCAGTGTGTCAAAAACACAATCATTTCAACCGTCAATATAAAATAAATTTTTAATAAGATAGTTTCGTTCTTTTTGTACTATATCTTCAAAACCTGGTTGTATTTTGCATCCTGTCTGAATTGGAACTAGCAGCATTTCAGGGACCCAGGAACTGTATGACATCTGCCCCTTGCTAGACAGTGTAGCCCAGGACCCCAAGACTTGATCCCCCCTTTTGGGGTGATTGGTGGCCCCCAAGACACCAGAGATGGCACACCCTGACTTTAATGTCTCTCAGCCCTGAGACTTGGTGCAGAGCACTGGGCCCAACCCAGAAGCAGCGGCAGTAGGAAGAAGGAGGTGACCCAAGTCAGAGGCAAGGGGATGGGAGTGGGGGGAGGCGCGGGCTCCAACCTCTCTCTCCCCTTCCAGGCCGTGGGAGTGCACTGTGCCCTGGGCCTGGGCCGCACAGGCACCATGCTGGCCTGCTACCTGGTGAAGGACCAGGGCCTGGCTGCAGGAGATGCCATCGCCGAAACTCGGCGCCTTCGACCTGGCTCCATCGAGACCTACGAGCAGGAGAAGGCCGTCTTCCAGTTCTACCAGCGGACTAAGTAGGGACCTGAGCCCCCTCCCGGGCCGCAGTGCTCAGGTCATGTTAAATGAGGCCGGAGGCAGACTCAGACGCCGAGCCTTCCCGCTCCCAGCTGACCAAGGAGACCAAAGCCCCTCCGCCCCCATGGGGTCCTGCTGCTGAATAAATCACTTATGAGAGCAGTGCACATTGCAGAGCACTTTACAGTGGCCAGCACACACCACACAGCTCCTTGGGCCCCCCCCCAGGAATGCTGGGGCATAGGCAAGACAGGGGTACACCTGGTTTTTTGGAGGAGCTGGCTGACACGCGAGAGGCGCAGACCGCACATGCACCATGCAGAGGATGGGCTGAGCATGTATGTGTACCTGATGACACCGGTGTGCTCTGGGAAGCTGCTCCGGGGAAGACGCACATCCCTGTGTCCAGGGCTCTGGCGTACAGGGGCAAGAAGCCCTCTGGACATAGCCCTTCATCTAGACCACTAGCCTCATGGTGGCCGCCTCAGGGCAGAGAAGCCTGATGTGGCCAGACAGCCTCTTCCTCCAGCTCCCAAGGGCTGGGCACCTCAACTTGAATGCCACCCGCCCTCTGCCCTGGCAGGCCAGCTGGATGAGATGGAAATTCCCAAAACACTGAGCGCCATGTGCCAGGCTCTGTTAGATGCAAGACTAGCTCACTCAGGAAACACAGCTCAGCCCCCGGGGGGAGAGGGACACAGCGCAGCCACATGTGAGCCCTGCCCCCAGCCTTCCAGACGCAGCGGGGACAATGAGGCAGTTCCCTGTGGGCCACCTCTGTGGCCTAGGCCCCAGCAGGCAAAGCCGCTGCTCCTCCCTGCACCTTTCTCCTTCCACCTGTCACCCGCCTAGGTCGGTCCCCTCACTAGACAAGTATGCTGGCCAGAGTCCTATGTATCAAATTCAAGTCATCAGTGCTCCCTTGGTCCCCACCCAGCCCACCCAGGTGAGGGCATCTGCCAAAGAGGGGAGCTCACAATTCCAGCAGAAGTGTAAAAAGTAGCAGGAAGAGAAAGCATGCCAAGACCTCACCTCCTCCAGCGCCTACCCCCACCCGCAGTCGCTACCCGCCTCAACAGAGAAGCCGTTATTTTTCTCCATGCGAACCAGAGCCTCTCCCAAAGGGATGTGTGAACATGCGTGTGCACATGTGTGAGCATGCACAGGAAGAGCCGTGAATGAACAGCTGATCTCCTGGGCCCCTCCACTGCCAGGATGGAAAGGTGGGAGACTGGGAGCTGCACCCCAGGTCATGCCTCTGTTCCCATAGATGGAACAGCCAACCCTTGCACCTCGGCCCCCTCCCCAGCCCCCCCTACACTGCAGGAAAGGAATCTTCCCTCCTTCCAAGGAGACAGAAAATTTTTCTAGCCCCATTAAAGCCCTATGTGCAGCCTCCATCCCATAATTTAAACAGGTCTCCTCTGCCTCAAGAGTTCCTTAGGGAAATAAACATGTAATTATGTGCTTAAGGAAATCGGTTTTTAAATAAGTAAGAGTTGACTTGAAATGAAAAACTCTGCCCTTATCCTCCATCTACCTCAGAAGGTTATCCTGATCCAAATGCTCAGCCCTTTTTCTATCCCCTGGAGGGGGCCAGCCCCAGGGCCCTCCCCCTGGCCCTGCATAGGCCGGCAGTTGTGAGCACAGCCACCTCCACCCACCAATGGCATGGCGTCAGGTTGGCCTTTGGGGCATCTTCTGTGCTGGGGCTGACCTTGCATTATAGGGTGTTAAGCAGCATCCCTGACCTCCACCCACTAGGTAGCAGAGGCACACCCCAAGAAACTGACAACTGCAAGTGTCTCCAGACATTTCTGAATAGCTCCAGGAAGACACAGCGCTGTGCTGCTGAGATCCACTGCCGGCCCCCAGCCGCTTGCTGTGGCTGCCTGTGCGAGTGGCAGGTGGGGAACGTGGGGCTCTCTCCTGTGCATGCTATAGACTGACAGAAAGCCCCCAACACCAGCAAACACCGTCCCTTCCCCACCCCCAGCCTCAGGGGCTGTCCCCAAGGCCCATGGTGCAGGGGCTTGGCTCTCTGTGCGGGGACATGGTACAGCGCCGTCCACTCCCACCCGCTCCTGTAGGTCCAGTGCAATTTCTCTTCTTCCCCCACTACCATCCCTGTGACCCTTTTGAGAGCCCTCCCCTCAGGATGTCTATTGATATCCACTAGTTTTTCTAAGAGTTTTTCATTTACATTGTTGACCTGTGGGCTGTGTGATCCCACTCGCATGTAAAAGCTCCATCCCTGTTTGCTCTCTGGCAGGTGGGCCGCCTCCCTGCCAAGTGGCAGCTTCTCTGGACCTCTATTTCAACACCTCTATTTCATGTGGGTTCTGCCCCATCACCCAGGGCTCCTCTCCCAAAAGGCTGTTCTAACTCAGAAGCCCTGAGCTAGGAGCCCCACCCCCACCTCGCCCTTGCATGCCCACCTCCCACTTTTTCTGTGGGTCTCAAGACAGGCGGCCTGCCGTGCCCCAACGTCACTCTGTGGCTGCCTTAGTGAGGAAGGGCTTCTCCTGACCTGCCTTCTGATGACACATTCAGCCCCCATAGAGAGTTGGCCCATCCCATGGGACTGCTGCTCTGCACGCCTGCACCTGCCCGTTGTCCCCAGGCTAGCTCTTGGCAGGCAATGGTAAATGTGCCAAGTGGGGCTCAGATGCCATCTGGACCATTGACAGGTCCCCAGTGGACTGGGCCCCAGTGCAAAGTCTCCAATCGAACCCACTCTCTATATCTTCCTTTCTCTCTGGGGAGGAATCTAACATGGTCTCACAGGATTGTCTTGTCACAAAACAGTATCTATCCCCCCATGCCCCCTTCACCTGTCATGACATGCCCTGAGACTGACATGACTAGAGTTATTGATGAAGCACCTGCACAAAGCAGGTGTTTTACATACATTGTTACATAAATTCATCCTTACAACCACCAACAAATCAAGTATTTTTCCCCTTCTATAAGGAAAGGAACTGAGGTTTACAGCCGAGTAACTTGCCTCACCCAGGAAGTAAAGGTGTATTGCCCTCTTCTGTGAAGGAACAGAACTCCAGGCTCGCTCACCAACCGGGCGCCCAGGGGACTGACAGGCGCCTAAGCACCATGCATCAACACCCCCCACGCGCTCCCCACCTCCTAGGCTGCCAGAGCCTGCACTGGGGGCCGGAGCCGGCTGCGATGGGGCTGCTCTTCACAATACAGCAGGCCTGACTCCTCAGCGCACCTGTGCCATCGCTGCCTTCGCTGTCATCGCTGCCTTCGCTGTCATCGCTGTGCTGGTCTGCACAGCACTCCATGCAGGCCCGTCACCATAGCAGGCGCTTCCTAAATGTCACCTCCTGTAGTCTGCACAAACCCCCAAGAACAAGGTCTTACAATGAGCAGGGTGCAGGTGAAAAGACAGGCCCAGGGGGGTTCGGGAACATGCCCGAAGTCACACAGCTGGAGCAGGATTAAACTCGGGTCCCCTGAGCATAGAGAGAAGAGACGCTGTTAGAGAGGATGTGCGTATATATTTAAGGGAATGTGTTGCCCAGAATTGAGGGGCCAGCACTGACTGGCCACCAGTGCTACTCTCAGCACACACCCCTGGGCAGCCCCCACATTGCCACCCCTGCCCTATCTCAGCAGTGCAGCTCGCAGCTCTGACATGGAGTGTCAGGCTGCCAGCACAGCCGTCATCCTAACAGGTTTCTGCCTCCAGCCTCCTGCACAATCAAAAATATAGTTCCCTATGGATTTAGAAAGGAGTTCCATCAGCACTCCTTCCATTACTGTTAATGTCTTCTCCAGCTATTATGGATTCGAAGCATATCAAGAAGGCAGCAGGCTGGTCCATGCAAGCCGAAATTCGAGAAACACGACGTACAGGGCCATCCTGAGGCCGACGACTCATTTGCAACCTTGATAACAGCCCTGTGTGCCAATAAATTGCTTAAATTGCTTCCACCACTCGCCACCTATTTTCCCTTGACTTCTTCTGTCACCATGGATATGCGATCAGGAAACAAATTGGAGATGTCACCTCTGAGTTTTCAGTACAGCAAACAGTTCTGGGATGTATAATAAACACACCATTGTTTCTTCTGTATAATACATATTGAGTGGCAATTGCTCCAAACCCAGGAGGGCCATCTAGGACATGATTGGCACATGCCTCCCACGGGCAACGCTGCAAACCTCCCTCGGTGGGCTCTGTACCCCGGCACCCCTCCCCCCACCATGCAAGCTCAGCCATTTGCATGTCTTCTCTATCTTGTGAGCTGGGGGGACTGGACATAGACCAAGGGTGAGGAATAAAATCAAAGCAACCACCCTGAGAACAAATTACAGGTAGAACTGGGTCATTCCTGGGATCTATAAGGCTCTGGTCCCTCCTTCCCCTTCCAACCCTCCCCCATGTTCCTCCTCCTCTCTGTTCTACCCACATTGGGGTCCCCAATACCACCTTTGGGTTTGAAGATTTGTTGGACAGATGCACAGAAATGTCATCTATCCTCTCAATTCAGTGTATTGCATAAATGGAGACACATTAAAAGCAGTGGAAAAGAAAGGGGTGAGCCCAGGAGGATGCTGTGTGGGTGCCTAGTGGTGTTGCATGAACAGCACTCATTTCTCCAGGTAAAAGTGTGACGACAGGGCAGAAGCACTGCCCACTGGAAAGCTCACCCAGCCTGGCGTCCAGGGGGCTGGGGGTCGGGTGTGTCAGCACTAGCCCCTGCGTGTGACCTCCATGCCTGGTCTCAGCAGCCACAGGTCAGGTGCACAGTGATGTGGAGTCGGGGGGGGGTGGGCAATGGAATCTGGCCTGCAGGGGTGGGACAGGGTGGGACAAAGCCATGGGTCTAGGGACAGTGTAAACAGGAAAAGAGGAGAATGGGGGGTAATGGAGGGTAACAGGGGTCAGCAGGGGAAAAGGAGGGTCAGCCCTCCAGGATCAGCCAAGGACCCTACATTTAGAGCCTGGAAGAAGAGGAAACAGAAAGAGTGACCAGAGAGATGGAAGGAGAATCAGAGTGAAGGCTGGCATGATGCCAAGAGAGAGAATCCAAGGGAAGTGGAGTCAAGCATGGAAATGCTGCTGAGTGGCCACTTGAGCACGGGCGAGGTTCACCCATCAGGGCTGAACAAAGAGCCACTGTGACCTTGACAAAGTCATTTCAGTGGTGCCCAGGGGCTAACCCAAATGGGCCAGGACTGGGCAGTGTGAGGGGAGGCAGCGTGTGGGGAAGATTGGAGAAGTCTGGCAGCAAAGGAAAACAATGGGTGGAGCCCGGAGGAAAGCCTGGCTGCTTGGGCAGTATTGGTCTGCGTCCAGCCACAGGTGAAGAACCCGGTGGCGAGAGACGCAAGGTGGGAGCAATGGAGGGAGAAAAGGCAGAAGAACTCAGAAGAAGCAGGAAAAGGAATCCCGTCTTAAGGTCAACAGGGTGCAAGGATGCTCAATGCCTCTGCCTGATTTCAAATGCCAGGCTCTTCCCAGACACTGGTTTCCTCTTCGATTTTTACTAGCTCATGGGCATCCAGCTCCCAGGGTCCCCTGCACGAAATCCTTCACTTCCACCTGCTGTCAATACACAAGTCTGGTCCTTTCCATTTCAATCCAGGTCCCATGTATACTTAAGGAGCTGAGGGAGAAAATCAGCAAGCTCAAAACAATTGAATCTGACCTATTTTATGCATTCTGTATAAATGCATGAAATAGATTATGTTTGACAGTGGTAAACAGAGAACCAAAAAAAATCCAATTTATTGCTTTAATTATATATGCTTCTCTTCCTCTGTCTCCAGGAGGAATGTACCATCATCCTTCTCAGCCCCTTTTCAGTGTCACCCCAATTTCTAAGGCTACCTTTGGTGACCAAGTCACCTTATGTGACATACGCCTAAAGATGTTGACCTGCTACCTAGGAAGGTACATGCAAAGAAGCATGTAATGGGAAGATAAAATTAAAATCAAAGAAATGGGAGTGGGGTATTGCTGTGTTTGAAAAGAACAGCTAGATTAGATGGGAGACCCTCCAGAGAAAACCCCCCTCCCCACTGCCTCCATGGGGAAGGAAAGTTCTGAGGTACAGGGATTCCAGGCTAACTCTTAGGCAACTCTTACATGCAATCTAAGGCCTGAGTAAGCTTTTGTTGGAGAGAAACCTGTCCCTAAATCCATTGATTTGCCTCTGAAGTGGAGGGTGAGGGACCTGAGACTGCATCTCCACAGAGCCCTTCTGCTGTCCTGACCCCAGAAACAGGACCAGTAAGTGGAGGTGCCAGTTCAGCTCAGCCTCCACCCCCACCCCACCACCCCACCACCACCACCACCACCACCCCCAAAAAGTTGAGAGGCAACCTCCGAGTCCAGGGTGGCATTCACACCTACTCAATAGCAAAAGGTGGAGCTTGCAGACTCTTCTCCCCACAAGCAGGAGTCCTATAGGGGAAGGGGGCAGC